AAATTGATTCAATTCTTATTAGATTTTTTATAGAATTAGGCACGCTCTTTCTATAGTTTGATCGAAAAATTTATTGAGTTTCAATTTCATTTATGTCATTGGTGAGTTATTTACTTCCGTATGCTTGATGTATATGGATGCTTCTTAATCTCATTTCAATGAACAAATGTGAGAATGTGTTATCAAAAGCCTAGATTTTTTAGCAGAATGCATGAATAATTGATGTTGATTGACCCAATTCGAAAGAGTGAATTCCGGTGCTTATACTAATTGCATACATTTTGATATTCAAACCACAATTCAAATTGATACATTTCTTTTATACAACTCGACCCTTTAAGTAATTTCTCATTTCCTTGTGGATACGACACCCCAAAACTGTACTACAATCACCGCGTTACACTTTGGGCGTAATCATAGACATAGATCGGACCATGTCAAGCTTGTATAGACCTACGGTTGTTAAATGGGACGAGCCATTCTCCAGTTCAACTCACCCCACTAGCAAGTCAAGCAATGATTTTCTCGTGTGAATGCGCGTAAAAGAGTCGACCAGCCTTCAAAATAACCGGGTCCAACACGGTTCTAGGACTAGTTTGTGCAGGTGCCAATTTGTAAGGTCAACACACTTTTAATTGGTCAGTCCAAAATTGGTTCTTGGTGTGGTCCCGACCAAGAATGATCATTAGCAATAACAAAGTGAAGGAATCCCATGACACTACAGTCAAGTACAACACTATAATAAGAAGATGAAGTGGACATGGATTGAAGTTAGCAAGTCTCCATCAATGGAATCACTGAATAAGAATGCTGCAAAATGTATGACTCTAAAATGCACAAAAACACAAACTGGAAGAAGCGGGCAGGTGGGACTCTTCACATCCTTAGAATGGTATGGAGAAAGACATGTCATTTGGTGAAGTTTTTGACATTTTGTCTATAAATAGAAGTTTGAAAAGGGTTTGTGAATAGGAAAAGGAAATGTAGATCACATAATGTTTTTCCATTTTGTTATTAGTTATCTTAAATTTGACAACTCCATAAAGCTGTAAACAATCAATTAAGCAAGTACATTTCAGCATCACATGTCAAGTAAGATTCACGATCATTTAAAAATTAGAGTTATACTACACGAACCGCGGGAGAGACCGCACACACACACACACACACACACACACATGGAGTGGGGATTTTTTAATTCATGCGGGACCCACTCGTCCCATGTGAGAGCGTGGTCATCCGTGTGGGTTGAGTGGCTAACTCTAAAAATTATCGTCCAATGTGATAAAATTATGTTTCAAAAATAATAATATAAAACCCTACCAGTAAAACTAAGACGTAAATTTTACTCTCATTTTTAGTAAACGTCAAGTGCATTCTAGTAACGATTTCATTAGTCCAGTCTAAAGTTCAAAAGCTCCGGTCATATATTGCACAATATTCAACATAACAATAAGTAAAATTTCCTATAAAATTTTTCGATAGGCTAAAAAGTCTTGTTCATTTATTTTCGCATTTTGGGGTCAATTATTAACTTAAGCATTCAAGGGTGTCTAGAGAAATACTCCGTCTTCTTTTTTTGTTTAACATATATTTCGCATTTTCAAAAATTATTTTTCAAGAACGTTAATAGTTGACAAATTTTGACGACGACAATTCTCAATCTTAATTGTTTGTCAAATTTATTCAATGGCGGTAATGATGCTGATTAATTTATCGACATAATATTGTGTAATATCCCATCAAATTATTTTACCATAATAGAGTTATGTATATATGTTAAAATTTCAACATCAAAAGTTTTGTAATAATTTCTTCAACATCAAAAGTTTTGTAATAATTTCTTTCTATTTGCATTATAATTATACTAGAATTATTGATCTTGACAACGATATTGCATATTTCTTGTACTCTCTATGCCAATCTTGACATCGAACAATTTATCTATAGCAAAGTTTGTCTCATGTGAAAAGAATCACATTTTAGATATAACGATTATGTACAAGTTTTAGTTTAAAGAATTTAGCAATACCAATATCATTGAAAATCCGGCCCTAAAAAGAATAAAATCGAAGAATGTGAAATAATGTTTTTGTAAAATAACGAAAAAGAATTCATTTATTGTATCCAAAGTTTGTTGTTAATAATCTTAGCTTTGTCATTGTCGCCTATACTAACAAAATTACAAGAATCAAGTAATATCATGTTAACTTGTCATGGGACAACTTATTTATTATAACTTACATAAACATTGTTATAACTCGATTTGATCTATGTAAAAGAGTATCAGGTTGAAAGAGCTAACTAGGTATTTGATTACCATCCGAAACTCCTAGGAATCTGATCAATCATCAATCACAAAATCCACATAACAATATTGCATTCAACTCTATAATCAAATGGTTTCATGGAAACAATTGTGTTGGTTTGCTGGAGAAGACAGATATACTAGATATTCTAACTGTTTTCCGTTGATTGAGACTAAAACGTTAATCAAATTATAAGAAATACTCAAAAAATAAATTAGTACATAAATAAATGATTTTTTTTTTAAATAAGTAATATTCTTGTTTAGTTGAATTACATTTTAGCAAATGAATGAAAATTCTTGTCCATATTTTGGTACATTAAAAGACACTTCAATACATTGAATTTAAACTCATCAAACATGGAAATATATTTTCTTAAGAGCAAATCATGGACATGATTGCCTTGGAGCTAGCTAGTGAAATTGTCTGCATCTAACTTACTTGTTAATGATTTAACCAATTATGTATTTAGATAGAAAATCGAACAATTAGTTTTTACAGATCAAGAATCAATTGAAGCAAGATACTTGTTATTTTTACTGGCCACACCCACATATGTAATGTCCAACCTTAAAATTTTGAGTAATGTTATTTAGTCCGACTGGAGTTGCAATTTCAATTTAGGTGGCGTTAATGTAACATTAATTGATATGTAAAATTAAATAACTTATTTAATTTTATATTTCATTTAACCTGTCATCTAGTATTCTCTAGTCTGGAGTTGCAACTTCGGTGAAACTATATAGCATTACTCTAAAATTTTAGCACGAGACAAAAATTAAAGCGCATGGAAATTCAAATAAATACCGTAAACTGTCGGCACATGAATGGTCCCCTTGGCCTTTAACTTCTACTTTTGTGACCGAAATCTACATTAGAAGGTGACTAACACAAGAGTTTATGGGTTTTCTTGTTTGAATTACATGAGCTTCTGTCACATCTTTTAAATGCACTGATGATGAAGGAAATTTAATGGGACCCTGAATAAACCCAATATATTTTTTGTCGGAATGAAAATTCATTCACAGTTTCTTGATTTTTGTCATGCCAACTACTTTTTGCTGTATTTTGTTTACTCGTAAGTCACATGTCCAAGAAGAAACTTCTCTTTCCTCGCTATTTTTCAACTCATCTATGATTATGCCTGCAAATCCATCTTTCAAATTAGGGTTTGTATTGAAAAATTTTGGGAGGAAAGAAAATGAGAAGGGAACCTATCCATTAACTATTGAGCATTGGTAAAGTTACCAGAAGGTAATATCGTATCTAACTATATATGTTTCCTCTCGTTTTCTTTTCCCTCTAATTTTCTTTTCCAAACATAACGCCAGACACCTATTCTCAACAAAATTTCACATGATAAGAAAAGCATCCAATCCAAATTAATTTCTGTTATTTTGTTTTCCAGTGTGTTCATTTGGCTCCATCAGTCCCCACAATTGTCATTAGTGCTTTCATGATTATTAGTAATTGATAACAAGAAATTTATTTCAATATATGAATTGGTCGAAAGTGAATAGGACATACCTAACTAGTCATCTCTCTCTCTCTCTCTCTCATTCAACCTACCAAAATATGTAGAGTATATCTGTTGTGTTCCATGATGTAACGTAAGGGCCACTTCTGGGATGAGCAAAAGTCCACAAGAAACACAAAGGCGCCGATTTGGGACATATACAAACAATTTTCAGACTTACTTTGCACCGAAAAGAAGGTGCGATCTTGAGGGAACAAATGGATCTTTTTCTTTTGACCATTTTTAGGGTTTTTAAATTTGGCTTTTGGGTGCTTAGCTAAGCATGCATTATCTTGTTTTCGTGCTTACACGTAAACTTTCTTAAACACAGAAGCCGTAATTGGTTGATTATTCATTATTTTTTAACAAAATCCAATCTTCTCTCCCAACCATTTTGGCTCAGTTCAATTGTAAAGTGACACTATCCATGTTATCTTTTCTTATCACTTTTTTACGCTAAGTCTATACTCTATCATATTTATATCAGCAACGAAATCAAGATTTTGATCCAGTGAGAACCAAATTTAACTACAAAAAGGATTTTAAAACACAAATTATATATATATATATATATATATATATAAATTTTATTTTTTTTTTAAGAAAAAAAGGAAAGTCACGCAGTCCAACTAGCCCCACCTCCCTCTGCCACTGATTTAGGTGGAATTAAAGTTAAAATAAATATTGAATAATGCTATTTGCAGTGAAGACTACCGGCAGTCGCCCTATGTGGCGTATACTTGGTAGTTTTTCATTTGATGTATAATTCAAAAAATAACTACCGTATCTATGTATCAAATACTAAATTGCTAAGTGTATACCACATAGGACGACTACTGGCAATTTTCACTGCAAATAGCATTACTCATAAATATTATACATTTTGACAACCTTATCAAATCTAATGCCTAAATTTATTATTGCCAATGCCTATTAATACCTGACCACATTCATGCTAGTTAAGCCTACCAAATTTCATATTCATAAAACGAAAAATCTATTAAAAGGTGTCTTTAATTCTACATTATTATTTTCTTGTATTTAACTCAAACTATTCTTATTGTCAGGTGCTGTTTTCTTGTATTTTACATTTTTTTTTATTCGGTCATTTTATATTGTCTGAATTTTATAGACTACAATTCAGAAATTCAGAATCAAGCTAATAAGATAGCCAGTGCATGAAGAAAATTTTCCTTGAGAAACAAATAAATAAATCTTAAAATGTACAAACTCTGACTACCCATAAATTAACATCGGCTTTCTAGCCAGCTGATTAGCCAAGCCAAACTTATCTTGAGAATGAACTCCTGAACTCCAAAGTCGTGTAGTGTCTCTTGTGAACGGACTAGGTTGGACCGGGTAGCATACGAACAAGATTTTAATTTATTCTTTATTCATTTTTGTCCTATGCAAATTGCAATCTTTCCTACGTCACTACATCTCGGCTAAATCTACGGCTCGGCTGGCGCGAGGCTGAGATGCAAATCAAGCCCAAATGTATCATCGAAATTGGACCCACCATCCGGTCTAGAAAATCTACTTAACGAAGGCCCATCTAGCTTCCCGGAATGGGCCTTAACCGGTTGACCCGTGACACTTGTCAAGCTGGATTCCGCTACACTGCTGGCATACGATAAGTTCCCTATACCCCTCCCAGTTGTAGATGCTGGAAACACACACCCATGCGACACATGGAAGGGAGGTGCGGCGCGTGGAACGTAAACCCACGACGGAGACTGCTGTACCGCCGCGGGAAGAACCACATGACCCGTCGGAGAAAGTAGATGAGGAGGCGGAGCAAAGGCGGAGACTATAGGATTTCTCATATAAGACACGGCGGCGTTTCTGTTTGCTTGCATTTGTGCACGTTTCAATTGTTGCCTCTCTTTCTTGTGGGCGTTTTGATGGCCACCTAAGGCCTGTGAATTAGCAAACTCCCGGCAGCAGTACTGGCACTCGTATTTCCGTCCTTCGGGCGTCGGAAAAACGCCAGACTCCGACGACCCTGCTCGTCTTTTGGTGGATTCTACCTCTTCTTCTTCTGTTACGTTAAAACCAAAGAGCTTCAAGCCTCCATTACTTATTTTACTCTGATACTCTAGCTCTGCCATATCCATATATATGTATGTGTTTTTTCTACCGAGAGAAAGAGAAAAATTTAGAGAGTTGATACATATGTGGGGTACTTATACAAGTTTACAAGAGTTTAAGCTTCTGTGGGCAGTGTAAAGGATAGATACAATGCATATATATAGAGGGGGGGGGGGGGGCTGCGGACATCCCTAGAAAGTTGAGAGTAAATTAGGGTGAGATCCGCTATCTATTTTTGTTGTTTATCCAATTGTAAATTGACACATCACAAAACATTAAAGTTGTCATCCAGTTTAATTTTCGAACCTTAACATCGATTTTAATTTTTCATGATGTTTTAATTTGTAATTAGATGGATAGCAAATTGAAAATCAGATCTTACCTCGAGTAAAACTGGGGGCAGTACCCAAAGAAACACTTGGGGACCCGATGGATTGCATTTGGTTTTTTGACATGATATACTCCATTTTCAAATCACCAGGACTGGAATACCTAAAATACCCTTGAATTTCAGATTCCAAATTTGTACTAAAAACTAATAATTAATTATAGTACATGAATTTGAAGGGCAAATGTCAATTCATTTTGCTGTTTTTGTTGTGTTAATGTAAGAAAAGTGGAAGCTTAAGTAAAGAATGTGATGCATGTGAGTGTTGTAGGGTGGTTGAACTATCAAATGATTAAGTTTTGCCCCATGTAATCTATAGTAAATGATGTCTTGTTCTTCATTTTTTCTTGTTTTCTGATAATGTTCATATTGTCATTTGGCCCCATCATCCTGTCTAGAAAATCTTCTTAAGAGGTCATGGGCTCAAGGCACCTTCACGTCAAAATTTTGAATTTCACATAATTCCGTTCAGTTCAATTAAACAGATTTATCAGATTTCTGCCCAATAAATAAATAAATAAATAAAATAAAAAACCCTAGTTAGTTCTTCTAGTTTGAAAGGGATTTATTTGTTAAACGGTCCAAATACATCACTAGGACTATACCATATTTGGAATATTGGAATCTATCCATCCAATACGATTTTAAAGGTTGAACCCCAACCTTGAGGGTTCCCACCACCCTGTCCCTAGAGCATCGTGAGAATGGTAAATCGCAAGATGTGCCCCAACAAATCAAAGAATAAGAGTTTACCTGTACATTGATAACTATAAATGCAAGTAATGTAAAAATAATTTAAAAAGGCAGGTGCATATATCTTGTGTGATGACACATATGATTTTTTTCCTATTCTTCAATTGTATTTAGTTATAAGGTAAACGTTATATTCACAATGTTACATTATTGAATGTTAAGATGACATTTATGCTATTAAGAAATATAATGAAATTGTAGTGCAAGTAAAGAATAATAAGGTTGTTAATCAATACTTTCTCTCTCAAGTGTTTGATTGCAGTCTGCAGAACATATAGAAGCATTCCAATAAAAAGATGTCTGTCAGCATACAGCCTAAATACTTGTGAAACCCAGATCTTTGCCTCCAAAATTCAGTGGTGTGGGTATTTGTACTCAGTTTCCTATCCATACTTGGAATATATAAGAGGAACGAGCCCCAAGGATCCTCTGCACATATATATTTATAAAGCTCACTGCCCATTTCCAATTTCAATTTCCATGGTGGTGTTCGTGTTCATGTGAATTCTGACTCCCTCAACAAAAAAATAGTGTTTGCTTGTATAGAACATCGTTTGCATTCACTCTACCTGTCCCCTAATGACAATAAAATATATTGATGTGTTTCACAAAGTTAAAAAGTCTTTAAAAAATATTAAATATATGAGAAAATTTTCACCTGAACCTAGCGATGCATGGATTAACATTCGATGCAATACTTGAAGTACTTTGCATACGAGGAATGGCTTGTCCTCATAAAGATACTCTATTAACTTAGAGATGAATTTTATTTCAAAATTTGAAGTTTTTAGTTCCTTTATTTAGGAAATTAAAATGGAGATCAATATTAGCTAGGTACTTAATGTTACGCTCTTTGTTTGATAGAACTTTGTTAAAAATCTAATCAAAAGCTTTGTAAAATAATTGTAAGTTTGCAAGAGTGTGTGTCACATCTTACAAGTTAGAATGGAGCCCAAGTTTACATGTTGATGATGGATTATTGTCTAGTATGTTTGCGTGATTGACGTTGAAATTTACATTGTTTAAACATTGCTTTCCTTGTATAAGATCTCCCAAAATCTTACAACTACGTGAGTAGAGAGAGAATGTGGGGGTGGGGTAAGGTGGGGTGTAAATGGGATGGGGCGGAGTGGGTTTACAAAAGCATAGTTGATTAAAATTGAGTGGAAAATGTGTTAATCAAAGAGATCTTCCAAAGTCTTCACCACAACTCCAAGAATGACCCACCATGTCTTCTCTTTACATCTTCTCTCACTTAATTGGTCAAATTTTCTATACATAAAATCCGAATTAAGCATAATTATCTTGGTTGAAAGTTTGTGAGTTTTGGTTTAGGAATAAGCAATTATGAAAATTGGTTATATTATTTATAAGCAATTTTTCACTCCAATACTCCAACCAGCATTTATATAAGTATAATCATGATAAGCTATGAAAGTCAAATTGACTTTTGAAAAAAGAATTTGTCATATTTTATAGAAAATGTTTGGGACATTATTACAGACAAGATATAACGTAATTAAATAAGAGAAAAACTTAATTTGTAAATAATTGTGCCAAATCCTTTTAATTTTAACTTGCTAAACATATTACTAAAATTTAAGAATCGATTTGAGACTATAAATTCATCTCTTGAGATCTTAACTTGGGTAGTTTTATTTTGTCGAGCTAGTTTCTATATGGTTTGTGAAGATACATTAAATAAATATTATTTTAAAAGATTAATTAACAAAATAATCTCTAATTCTTTTGATCATTTTATTTGGTAGATAAGAAATTTGGTTTTGGTTTTCTTTGTCGCTTAGTTTCTAGACTATTATTTTTCTCAAATTGGCAAATTTATGTAATTTTTTATGAGCAATGCTATAAGTACAGATTTTTTTCAATAGAATTGATACATGAAGACGGATGTCTTCTTGTAATTGGTTGTTGTCAAAAATAGTTTTTGACAACAGCAAATCACAACAAGACAACTGTCTTTCTGTACCAATTCTGTAAAAAAAATAATTTGTACTTGTAGAGTTTTCCATTTTTTATAAGTACTATAATGGTGGGAGTCGGGACCAAGCTGTCGTTTGCATGTTTAGTAGGGAGCTAAAATTATGGTCATAGATTAAGGAAGAAATTAGGATCCCAGTAGTGAATACAAATTGTTAATTAATTCATCTACTTTTAAGCTTTGGAAAATATGGATCAATGATTTTTTGGAGATCTTTTCAATGGCTATGTGGCTCAAGAAGTTGGTTTGACAAGAAAGATAATGTAATGAAGTGACCCTCGTAGTTTTATTGTAAGCGGTTGTACTCATAAAGATTGGAAGTTTACATAAAGTAGTTTAGACTCTCAACGAATGGCTAACTATAACGTTGTACTCTAAACTGTTTAGGATGATCATTTCCAATTTCTTACGCAGTAATATGTTTGATACACTAAATTAAATGGATTTAAATATGCAGTAATATGTTTTGGTACACTGAATGGGGAACTGCTGCAAGTGATGATGTTTCTCTAAGCAATATTTGCTCAGTCAGAATTGAGTCCAAAAAGATCTTTGGGGCCGAAACAACCACCAGAGCTTTATTAAGAAAGTGTCCACCACGTCCTCTAACCTCCTAAAACCTAGTCCACCCATTTCAATTGGAAGACAAACATATTTCCATCTCCTCCAATACAAGCAACGTGCCTAATCCTTAAAATCTTATAGAAATCGCTCAAAAATGTTCTCAAATTTCTTCAATACAACCTTGGGAGGTCTCGTAATCTAAAGAAGACAAAGTAGTATGGAGGATAGCACAAATCTCAACAAAATAATCCGTCGTCCATAGGAAAGTAATCGAGAAGCCTAGCCTAAAATTTAGCTCCTAACTTTCTGAGAGGTTATCATAAATAAAGCTCCTCTTGGTCCTCTTAAATAATGAACCCCAAAATAAGTAAATGGTTGCTACTGATGCTTAAATCCAGTCAAGAACAAAAGTCTCATGACCTGAATAAATGATATCGTCTATGTAGTATTAAACCACTTTTGTCTCTGTTCACCAACTGGCCAAATATCCCATCGCAATGCTCCAAACAGTCAAGACTCTTCCAATAGTCTGTTTCTGACCATTGGCGAATATGATCATATCGTCAGCAAATGAAAGGTGTGAGACAAGAATACTACCTCCATGTCGATGATGCATATTGGGATAGGCCTAGAATTTCTAAGTGAGCAGGCGTGAAAAATAGTCTGCAACGATAATAAATAGGAAAAGTGAAATGAAGTTGCCCTATCTGAGATTGCGTAATGATGAGAAAAATACACAAGGATGGCCATTCAAGAGTGTCGAGAACCGACACTCAGATATGCACCGTTTGTTCTCGTCTATCTTTAAGTGATCGAATGCAAATGCCGCAAGTATAGCATACAGGAATCCCCAATCCATACAATCGTATGCCTTAGCCATGTCAAGCTTCAGCATAGTATTCCCCGCTTGTACTCAATTATTCAAAGTATACAAGAGCTCCCAAGGGTTTGTGATGACGTAGAACTTCTTGGTTAAACAAGGATGGAAGACGTCATTGTCAAAGGAAGATGTGATAATCATGTGTGGGTCATGATATTATATTACTTTGTTTGAGGGGAATTGTGAGAGATGTTCGAACAAAAAGTTTAATATTAGTTGTACATGAACATAGTCTTGAGTTTACAAAGGAAATTGAAGTAATTCACTAAACATCTTAGCGTGAATAGATCTTCATTTTCCTATCTCATTATAACCCCTTTGGAAACATGAATCTAATCATTCTAAATTCCCCAAGATTTTATATCCAAACATGTTAAGACAACATAGTCAAAACTAACCATACATGTATGTTTAAGGAAAAAAGAAGAGATAAGCACATGGCCACTCCATTGTTACAGGGAAATTACATGTGACTGTGCATCCATTGTTCCAACTGGTCTCTCACCTGTTCAAATTAACATGTTGGGACACTGTGTTAGATTTTTTTGTAGAGCCCTACAGGAGAACTCCCCCAATGACCTACCCCAACTGGGGGTGGGGTAAGGGACCCCTACTGTTTTAGAATTCGTGTAGTGTTTTTAGCATTTCCCAATCAACTTTATCGAGCTAGTTAGTTGATTAATCAACAAATTTCCTGAAGTTATGGTTCCACCACCTAATATTAAACACTTTTAATGACACTAATCATGATGTTGTTAATTGAAGTCTTCGTCGAATTATCTTTTAAGATCATCCGAATCACAATTGTGGCCCACCTAAATGTATTTATCATGAAAATCAAACCAATGAAAGCTCATTTTTTTTGTCCATGTTAGTTTAAGATTATTAATTTGAGACATGATGCTATCATCATACAACCCCATTAACTTTCAAATCATGTTTGCTTCCTTTTACAACCATAGCTTTGGAAGGATAAAAAATAAAAAAAAAATAAAAAAATAAAAAAGGGAAGAAAAAGACAACTATAATTTGACTTACTTTACAAGTTGTAATCCTTTTTAGATACGTTTATAGCATATTTAAGTTATAAAAATTATATGGGCATGACTCAATTTTATTCATATAAAACATAATCTCTTATAAAGATGACAAATTTGTTTACTATTTTTTTCATATAAATGCCCCTTCACTGGTAGGTCAAATACATTTTTTTCCTCAAATATTTGAATGAACAATTTTCATAAATAGGAGACGACGAGACTTGAACTTAAGGTATTTGTAGTTTAGATGTCATGAGAATCACATTATCTAAATACTCAGGTTATTAAAGAAGGAATATACGATCAAATTTATTTTTATTTTCAATTTAGATGAAACTTAGATTCAAGACGTCTATCTATTCTAAAATCATATTGAAGTTCCTTATATAAAACCTTTTAAATTAATTGATTCAAATATATAATACAACCAATAAATTTAATCACATAGTTCTTTTCCTTAAACCCATATTCCAAATGCATCTTCCATGCATTCCAATTGACACTATCTACTTTATTTAAATACACAAAGTTGAAGTGTGGTGGAGCTTGCTCTAAGTCATGTGAAATGGCTCTCTCTTCATGTATGTATAGTAAAATATATATTAACATCTTAATCAATCAATTAATTAGTCATTAACTGAATCAGAATCCTAAGCCTATAATACATTCTAAAATGTGTATAATATTTAAACCATCCTTGAATTCATAATAGAAATAATTGAAAGTCCCGTGAACTGAGAGGTGGAAGAAAGGGAAGTTAGTCAACCGATGAGACAAATTAAGCGTGGGAATTGAGTGGTCATTCTCCGGCTACATAAACACCACATAACATGTTAATTGAGAGAAACATCCGCATGTAACGGGAATTAATTAATTTTTCAACTCTGGACGAAAAATTTATTTTTTAGCAACGTAGACGAACTTTTGGGTAATTCTAGTTTAGCCATCGCTATTTCAAATTATAATTTTTTATATTATTTTCAACCACACAATAGAATAGAAATCTGTTCCTTCTTTTTCAACCACACATCCTCCCAAAAATTACTATTCGAAAAATTATAAATTGAAATAACGAGGCCAAGAATTAATGTTGGACAAAATTTTCTTGATCTTGCCATCTATACTAGGACTATTCACATCAAATGATAGACCAATTTTTATTTTTTTGGGTGATTCTTTTTTCTTAGGTTGAACCCTATTTAAAACACAAGATTTTAGAAATGAACTATGTTAAGAGAAGATTATGTATTTGTAGTGTTTTGGTTGCTCATAATAGAATTTAGAATTGTTGATAAAATACGACAATAAGCCAATGGTTCGAGAGCCTGAGCAAATAACCAAGTACAAGCATTAGCTTTACCAATAGTTAAAAGATATCAATTGTAAGCCCCAAAAAAAAAAATAATAATAATAATAATAAATAAAAACTACAATAATTGTCGAACTGTTCAACGATACATGAAAGAGAAGCAATTTATCTAAATATTAAAATTCTATTTCCACCAAACATGCATGATGATTCATTCATCAATTGTAGTATATATGCATGTGAGTAGCTCATTAACAAAAGAGTGAATCTATACATTTTTTGTACATCACAACATGATTGGATTTCTTTAAGAAAGAACCTCAGATAAACAATCCTTAAAAGTCTTGTAAGTACTTGCATCATAAATGAATGCAAGTTGATGAAATTTGTCTCCACATAAACCAAAAATTCAATAGAAGGAATTGTTTCAAATGAATTGTTTAAGGGTATCTCTTCATATAAAATTATCAGCTAATATATTTATGTTTATACAAATCTCAGGAACATATAACCTAAGACAGGGTGGTTATTTCTTGGTACGAACCTGTTTTATAGTTGCGAGTTAGCTTATACCCTTTATTTTATTGGGAGGTCTTTAGCCTGGAGAACATGCTATAAATTTTGGGCATTTTAGGTTGTAGGAAGATACAGACAAGCGATGTAAAATGAAACATTATAGAAATATGTGATATGGGTTATTATAATTTAGCTTAGTCCTGTCCTAAACAAGAGTATAATTAAAAAGACATACAGATTCCGTGGACAATAAATGGTAAAGATAAAGACAAATGAACCAATGTAGCGATCAAATTGTAAACTAGAGAACCTTGTTTTCAGCCGTTCTTTTAAGTAGAAAGATCTTATTCATTTTGAACTAATTTCATTATAAAATTTTGTGCTACGGCCTGGGACAACCACCAGAGGAAAATGGTCAACTGAGGAACCATGTCTGTAAACAAAATGGGGTCAGAAAATGAGTCTTTCATTTCAAGATGCCCGCAAGCCCCGACTCAAAGTAAGAAAGAAAAAAAGCCCTAGGGAAATAGATAGTCAAGTATTAATTTATTTTACCAATTCACCTTATCATAGTAGGTTAAAGATTATTTCTTTTACAACTGAAGTCGAGGGTTCAATGATTGATATCTCCCTCCCATCCATGGGCGGAGCCATGTGAGGACGAGTGCGGGCATAATTTTTAGGCCCAAAACAAATTTTTTTTTTTTTTAAAGCAATATCCCACGATTTTACTTGATTTTAGATATAAGTTGATTTGGACTTCGCTTATCAAAATATGAAAACTTGCAAAACTGTCATTTTTAGATTTTTTTTTTTTATAGTTTTATCATCATTAAATTTATGATCAAAATTCAATGTTCGACGTGGGTTAAATTATGCCTACACTGAACAAATTACCTGGCTCCGTCCCTGCAGTCCCATCACTAAATTTTTTTTTGGTTCAGATATACTTTTTTCTATTGAATGCAAACAAGAAGAATATGATAACCAGAAACATATGGTGACACCTGAGCTTCAAACATCATAGTTTAGTAGTTTACATTCAAGTTAGCATCAACAGACAAGCAAACCAAAGCATAACTAGCAACCAATTTGCAACACCTTTAGGATTTAATAAGTATAAAGCTAGTTATACCAAAGAAACATAATAAAGGTAGTTGAACATCTAGTCAGTCACCATTAATCTCAACATTAAACAAAATTATTTGTCCTAATCTCAAAAAAGGCAAGTAAACAACATAGCTATTGTACGTCAAAGTATAAAGTAAAATACAACCTTCTTTAGAGAAGACGAACAACAAGTATATTCGAAAACAACTTGGAAGAGTTCCAAGAAACAACCTTACCTGCATATATCATAATCATAGTTACACGTTTTGTAAAATGTGCACAATATTTTGACGCCACTTATCCCATTGAAGATTATACTCGTGGAAAAAAATTTAAGCTACAAATGCCCAAAAAGAGAAAATTTTACTTTTACATCAAAACCTCAACGAACTTTTATCGAATTCCGTGGAATAAAATTTTAGCTACAAATGCCCAAAAAGAGAAAAATTTACTTTTACATCAAAACCTCAACGAACTTTTATCGAATTCCATTTGGTCTAATAAGCTATTCCAACTGGTACAAGAAATGATTTCTGATAACATAAACCTTTATATGCTCAACATTTTGCAGTATAGACTATGACAAATTGTAAGGAACAGCCAATACTACACCCAAATGGGAGGAACATTAATCGTCATAATACGAGGCGATAGACACAAATCCACCACACACAAAAGCTGGTAGTCGCATGCAAGAATGAATTTCAAACCTGGAGAGTACACATAATTTTTCTACTACTCACTTTTTGTCTCATCGTTTCAGGTTAAGACCGAACCATTTCTTCTTTGTAGATTTGCCCTTTGAATGTGATCTGCCTTCTTCCACCAGACTCTTAGACTTCAAATCTTCACCACGGGATATGCTGCTACTTCCATTACCGAAAGGCTTACTCCCACTAGCATTTGGAACTGACCTTGCAACAGTGAAAGAAGAATGGATATTATCTCGCCTTTTTAGCAGCTCATCGACCTGTTCGAGGAAAGCACAAAATGATAAACAAAGGAGTAAATACCAAAGGCAAACGCTGCCTAGAAACTGTTAACGTGTCAGCAAGTTATCTATGAACAATGGCTTGATAAAAATGGATACAAACATTACAGAAAGAGCTAAGCACAGTAAGATAGAAAATGAATCGGAGAGACATCACTCACATCAGAAAATGCAAATCTTATTCTGGACAATGAATAAAACTGCAAAATCTGAAATTTCAACTTCAAGATGAAAAAAGGCTAGGACATAAATTTGCTCTGTTATTTAAAATAGGACTTTTCACACCTCTGGATCAGTATTTGTGCATTGATTAGAGGGAAAATGAGTTATAGAGAAAGATAGAGAATAGCATCAATGCTAGGATATTATGTTGATGGGAAACATACAAAAGTATAAAGGATTCTCAGGAAGCGAACTTACGGACTGCTTGGCCTGGACGTATCTATTAATTACTTCTTGGTAGCGTGACAATGCCTAAAAAATTCAGGCACAAATAAGTGTAATACAGATAACCTGAACAGAACATCCATAACAAATATTATTGGAAAAGGAAGACTACAGTTCTATATTCTGTCTCGAATTGGCATAGCTCATTTCTCTTCCTCCAAATCTGAGCCTCAATACCCCGAAGCTTATGAGTTGTATCCTCATATGACTTTGCACAGAGAGCCTCAATTGAATAGACAGCAGGTTTGAAGAAGTTATCACCTGCAGGTACCCGACCAAAGACAAGCCTTTAAGAAATTCTTTTCTCTTCTCATGCAATTAATAGTTGTAAGAAGCAATACGTATGTAATTCAAATTAATAAACATGTATTATAAGCAGTTCAAACCATAAACTGCGAATATGTGAGCACCAGTTTTCAGTTGCAAAACCTCACAAGGTTGAAGGCCTTCCAATCGTTTGAAGAAAGTGGCTTTTGTGTCCTTAGGCATTGCCAACTTCCCACAAACAAGTGAGTAGGTCAGCAAACATATCAATTAAACCTCTTCAGGGGAACAAAGAAGAAGGTTAAGTGATGTACAGCATTTACCATTGAATCCATTTTGTACAATTGAAAATGCAAGAAATACATTCCAGCCGACGTGACTTTGCCTGTCTTTTCACTGTCTTCCTGTATACATTGACAGCATTACGAGTTTGCAAGATGAGGTATATTGATCGATTACATAGTAGAAGAAGCATTACATGAGGTGTCAAGTGGAATGCAAAATGATAGAAGTATATAGAACTTAGAAAAATAGCTCATAAATATAGTAACACAGTTAAAGTTTCCCAGAGTTGAAGGAACATGTGATCAAGTTCAACTCTCAGCATATCCAACCTCACGAAGCTTATGTCCAATTCAGCTTGATATCTGACATAATTAGTTTTCTCAACAGTCTAACAGACACTAACGCAAATCAAAGTGAGTGAGGACGATCAAATTACTCTTCCTTCCAAGTGACGATCAGCTGATGCAGCTTGAAGGCTGATGGATTACCATCGTAATAGTGGGCTGACAAACTATTTGGGCTGTTGGGTTAGGAATAATGAACCAAATTGATAAAACACTTATTGTGTTAATATAATTGGGTTGCTACAATTCTATTGACTGGACAACACTCGTGATCATGTCTCAGGCTGATGTACAGTACCTGAGACTTTTTTACTATTCAAGAGTTTTCAGAACAATAGTTCACTTTTTTTTTTGGGATGCACAGTAATGTGTAAGTAAGTTTTTTTTCCTACTGAAGAAAAATATCAAAGAGTTTGTCAGTTAAAAGAAAAGGCTACAATACTAAATTGGCATAAAATAATAAAGAGAACTTAGAATAGAGAAAGGGAGAAGAAAGAAGAAATGAAGAGACATTAAAAGTGAAGAAGATTTGGGAATTTAGGGAAAGAAATTTTTTTTAGAGAGCAATTTAATATCACTGAATATCACCAGTCAATTATTTTCATTATTAAGCAGTAATTGTCCTATAAATATTCAAATTCCAAACAAAAATGGAACAGCTTGAAACATTTCTGAAGTTAAGAATAAATATTTATTATACAAAAATAAATCAGGGTTTATGTTCTATTTCTATGTCTAGAATAAATGCATGCGATCTTCAGTGTTAGGAAAGTAAATTTTGAAAGTTGTCCGATCCAATTTCCGTCACTTTATTATCTGTATAATTACAAGTTAAAAAGAACAATATGTATGGCTATGCATGAACATGAATGTACAATGTCCAACAGAACAGAATCAAAATATGTGGCATATATAGCTTTGAACTCCAAACAGGCATCATGAGAATGAGCATTGCTTATCGTCGACCAAAAAGTAAAAAGAAGAAAAAGTTTGGACTACCTCAAGTATAGAAAATAATTATACAAACAAATTATGGAGCATGAGTGACTCAATTCTTTTGACTAATTGCAATGTGGAATCAAGACATCATTTCCATTTTTTTGTATAGAAGGTCTCTTTGACGAAAATGTGACAAGCTAAAGAAATCATAAGACCATTGAGCAATCTAAACTGAAATGATAAAGATAAATTACCTGCAAGACCTGCCCATACCCCTCATTTGCCTCTTGTTCGAAGTACACGAGCTGATGATCAAGTGTATTAAAGCCTTTAGTACCCAGCTTATATTTACATGTGTAGGCATGCTATAGGAAAGATGAAAGAAGAGTCTTTCTCCATAACAAGAAGCACAAAATTTTATCTCAAAAATCATAGCAAATGCACCTTAAACTTGCTTTGCACAGAGGACGTAACTCTGACTACAATCCCTGCCTCTGCTTGCTCCTCATTAATTATTACACCAAAAAAGTGAGCAGATTGCTTTTCTACCTGTTGACGAAGATAATTCAACCCAAAAAGGCAGGACAACAAGTAAGCTTTCTTCCTGTTCAAATGATTATTTACCTTTCCACTGACTGAAGTTCCAACTGGAAGAGGTCTGACCCTGACAGTTCCACTCAAAGCCTCTTTGAGAACATTAGTAGAAATTGTGGTCTTAATGGGCACACCCAACTTGCTACCAAACAAATTTTTAAATAAAGAACTACAGAATTTCATCAATACTAGAAAATTCTAATTTTGTAACACTAAAAACCTGAATAAAGCCACAAGCATCGTGTTGACAGTTCCAAGGCTGGATAAATCAATCTCCATATCCATTCCTTCGACATCAAGGGCCTTATTATTTGTTAAAGAAAAATATCAAAACAATTAGAAGATACCCTATATAAATTACTCAAAAGGGTAAAATTATTAGAAACACTAAAAGACAAGATTGGATTGGATTCATAAAAAATAGATGTACATGGGGTCAAAAAAAATCAAGTACACACAATGTAAGGATCAGTACATCATGTGAGGAAGCCATGTCCATCTAGTGGAATGTGTATTTCTATCTATCTGGTGAAAAGTGTGGAAGTATGTACCTAGCAAAAGATATAGTTGGATCGGTACAGAAAGAGGGTGCGCCCTCCCCCTTTCTTCTCATCATATTGAAGGAACAAACAAGCCCTTATATATTATTAGTAACTTAAAATAAAATCATAGATACACAGTAAGAGTTATTAAGATTTTATTAGTAAGAGGAAGTTTTTTCCTCATCTCTCTCCCCAAAACAACAGCTGGAAAATAATAGCTAATGGTGTATAAGTGAGAGAAGAGAATACCTGAAATCCTGCACTATCATATTGCCTCCTTTTCTCTGGATCTGATAAAATGCTATATGAACATGCAACCTCCTTGAACAGTTCTGAAGCCTCAGGATTGCAAGCATTCTTGTCTGGATGATACCTGCCAATCATTTGAATTATTGATCACTAAATCAACCAAAAAAATCTCGTCAAAGACATTAATACATGCTCTCTCTCTCTCTCTCTCTCCCCCCCCCCCCCCCCCCCCCCTCTTTTGGGGGG